TTCACTGCGCTAAGAGCGTCGATAACCGACCCCCTAGGCTTTGCCATGGAACTGCATCGTGTAGATGGGCATGTTACGAGGGACGCGGGGCAGTAGCCCGGAGCGCTGGCCAGTCTTGCGTGAAGGTCGTGTGGGACGAGTTGTTCTAGTAGCTTCGAGAACTTGCTGTCCAAAGGCGGATGAATGCGACCTTGGGGAGATGTAACGATGGTTGTCTCTTCACAAATAGCGGTATGTATAGCTGAAGCGATTGGTGTGGTGGAGGCTGTCTTGGAACGTGTTCGTGTACTGATACTGGTATTCTGCGTGAAAACGAACGTGGGGTTGCTGCTGTATTTGACGGTAGCAGCTGCGACGCTTGCCTTGGAGACTGTGATGTGTTAGTCAGATGTGATCGCTATCAGCTTCAAGATGTCTCGACGTACTCTCTTCAAGCACCAAGGTGACGCCTCGGAACAACTTCGGTTGGAAAGGGTCATCCTGTGCCGCTGTCACTTCTTCCTGGAAAAAGGGCTGCGGAATCGCTGGAGTCACTCCAGCGCCGAAAAAAGGCTTGGAGATTGGGGTGAAAAGCAGCTTTTTAGAAGAATCAGGGGGTGTTGGAGGTGTGAAAGGCGTCAGGATGCTTCGTGGAGAAGCACCGGTCGTCCGCTTGGTGGGCGTCTCGGGTAAATCCCACATGTCGTTGAACCCTGCCGGAGACGACGTAGTCGATACTGTCGACGCTGGTGACATCCAGGAGATCTTGTTAGGGTCTAGTACGGATAGCACACCACGGCTACTCTTCTCTGAGACCGGTGTGGGTAGGAACGTAGCGCAGGGCTTCTGAGCTGTATCATACCCACACTTGGGTGTCGGCAGACCGCCTGGTTGGATGCTAAGATCTTCAGTAGCGAATGTCATGATGATAGCTCTGAGAAGACACTGGGTGGCGTGATCGATGGGAAAATGCAAGAATTAATAGATGAAGTGGGTGAGATGGATGGGTCGTTTGGTGCCAGCAGAACCTGAGTCCATGCCAGTATATATCCTCAGCCTCGCGGAGCCAAGTGCATTGCCTGCGACCACCACACCTACCCATCTCGCTGAAACCTTTGAGGTACTGCGATGTCAGCCTCAGTCGTTGCAGTGGCATGATACGAGAAGCGCATAGGCTGCGGCAACGTCCATCCGCGTAGACATATTACCATGATGGGCAGGTGTATTCGCCTCGCAAACGTCCATGAATGACTCAAGGACAAGATGGATTCGCAACCATGAGGCTTGTGAGTTTTGGATCTTTGGTGGCTGCATGACCCGTGCCGCAGAGCCGCAGGTGGTTGCCTTGCTCAGCCTACCACAACCACAGGGTATGAGAGCTCATCGTTAACGACCCTCCGATGAGACTGTATCTAGAAGTTAGTCTCTTCGGCGATGAAGACAGCTGTTGAAAGCAGATTTGGCGCCGGTGATCGAAAGACCGGGAAACGGATCAAGCACCTTGAACTGCATGCTCTCGCAATAATCTGGGTAGCATTTTGGCCCCAATCAGGAACAAAGCTTCGAAACCTCTCGCGTAGTATGTCGATGGGTGGACCGCAATTCTACCAGGCTGCACGCACCTTTCCAGGCTCGTATCGTGTTGAACGCGTTCCTACCATTTGCCGTCTTTCGACCAGGACGTGGGGTTTGAAACAAACGTCGTGATCTTGCCGTGGACCGTGCTGGAACGCGCGCCGTCGGCGAACCTCACGGAGGCGATACACATCGAGATAATGCAAATTGAGCGGCATATGAAGCATCGGTAGGCATGCTGACAGATTTTCTGAAACGAAGATAGATGCAGTGAAGTCCGTGAGTACATCGCGCTGAGTGAAAGCGAAAGCGAAGGGGATGGAGATTTGTTGTTCTCGGGGACGCGTCGTTGGCACGTGCGGGGCCGCCACGTGGGACGGCAACCGCCGCGGATCGGCTCTTTACGGCCGAATCCCAGCCACCTGTAACCATGAGCACCACAGCGACAGTCACGACGCAATTGAGCCTTGCGAATATCGAGACGCCCTCATTTAGACTGGTGGCATCATCGGATCTTAGGGTGCAATGCTGACATTTGGGTATCCATGAGAGCCCCGGGGCCTCGTCTTTCTCCAACCCCGATACTACTCTCCAGAATCTAGGATGGCTTCAACCACTTCATAGGCCTCCTTAACCACGGCCCTGGTCTCTTCGTTCAACCCATCCTCATCCATGCTCAGATCCCACAGCCTCTTCTCCCACAACCCCCACCGCTCTGGTGTCAATCCATCTTGACTCGGCCACAGCTCTGTCTCGTCATCCAGCGGCGTCGCGAAGTGCTCTCGTAGCTCCTCGTGATCAGTATTCCAGAGCGCCCAGCCTCCGTCCCGTAGCCATATCGCCGCGACCCGTACGTCCAGAGCCCGTACTTGCTCGAGTGGTATGCTGTGCGTGTTGGATTCAAGCTCCGGAGGTGCTTCGTGTACTCGTTCCAGTGCGTATCGACACGCGTAAAACACCGTCATAGGATAGCCCAGACCTGTCTGTCGGCCATATTTCATCAGTGCCGCTGAGAAGATGCACATGCGGAGGTATAGCTGGTCGGGTCTAATCCTCATCGTGCTGCCAAATGGATCTTCTTCGGTGCCTGGATCGCGTATACCATTCCAGTTGCGTCGTCCTAGGAGGATAGAATGCGCATCTCCCCAGTACATATCAAAGCCAGGTAACTCCGACCAGTGTAGTTGGCCATCGTGCTTAGCTTTATCACACAACCGTAAAACTTTGGGCTTCGAGGGCGGTCGCGCGCGAATGGCGTCTAGAAGAGCGATATAAGAGTCGTATGGTGGCGGACAAGACGTGACGGCAATGAAGAAGGCGTCCCAGAGCTCCCATATCGCTTGATCGGCATCGTGGCTTGCGGCGATAGCGTCGATGATTTTTTCCACCGAATAACCGAAGAGCAAAGGGTAGCCTCTCGATGTCAGAGCGTCTTGGACGAGCGAGAAGAAGCGGTTCGGCGGGGTGGAGCCAGGAATGTCGAGGATGCTCGTCATTCTGGCCGGAGTGCAAACTGCAGGCCGAATGAATAGAAAGTAGATTCGCGATGCTGGGTATCTTATCCCTTCTAATGTCGGCTTTGAAGCGGTTGCTTTAATGCGAAAAAGGCGTCAGGCGATAGTCTCGTGTATCATAGCATTTCCAAGGTAGGACCCTCAGGCAACTGCAGGCACGTGACTTGCTGAACCATGGTCGAGCTGTCCGATACCGCTTCGATGCGGAAGGTGGCGGGTAGACAGTAAATCCTCGAAATCTTAGAGAAGCTCACAAGGAAGTCGCGAAGGCTGACAGTTGATGGAATACCTACTGGTCCGTTTACGAGTGCTTACTACGCCCGATCACTCCAGTGCTGTCTTAGCGGGTTGCCCGTACCCCCACCCGCGTCGTGACCTCTTATGTCATGTAAACTCCGCTGTCGTATAACGGGCTGAATATAGCCCCTTCACTGTATACTGCGTTGACTAGACCGCGTTGTGGGCTCTGTTTAGGCATCAACTCCAGTCTCTCCTCAAGAGTAAATTCCACTGTTCAACAAATGGATGTCCTCCAAATACTGAACAATGCCAAGGTCAGGTTGATGTGCATGTGGTGATGACTGAAGTCTCTCCTCGTCAAAGCTAAGAATGTTGGACTGACACAAAAACCTATCAAAGCATGACACTAAGGTACCTGAGGAGGTAAATATGGGCTCTCATATTGGATTATGGAATCCAGAGCAAGTCAGATCTTCATAGGTGTCAGATAATGGTCACATTCTTGTACGCCCGTTGCCCGGCTTGACAAAGCAACCACTCAACCATCGACAGCATCAAGCACCTCATCGATTACAGCTCCCACCAACATTCTTTCGAGCAAGCCAAGTTTCTCACATCAGACGAAGCGACGGTCTTCTCCGTCGAATTGTCGACCGGCGCATGTATAAAGAGCAGCGCAATCTTCCATTTCATGTAGCACACAACCACAGAGCACAATTACAGCAATTCTTCACCCCATACTTATACTATCAATCATGCAGCTACAAACCCTTCTACTCACTATCATTGTCACTTTGGCAGCCGCCGCTCCGGTCGCAGAGCCTCAGCGCGGTGTCCCTGACGGCAGTCGTCGTCTAGCCATTCGAGACGCAGAACCTCAACGCGTCGGCCCTGGCGGCGGCTGCCGTCTAGCTGTCCGAGACGCTGATCCCCAGAAACGTTTTGGTGGAGGGCGCGATCTAACCGCTCGAGACGCCGATCCCAAGGAACGGTTCCGTGGAGGCGGCGGTCTGTCTACCCGAGATGCTGAGCCTGGAAGGGTAGGCGGAGGTGGACACAATGGTGTACGCGCAGTTGCAGAGAGAGCTCCTGTTCCATTTGGAATCGTTGAGCCCCGCGGAGTCCGTGGGCCAGGTGGACACAATGGTAAACGCGTGGTTGCAGAGAGAGCTCCCGTTCCGCTTGCGATAACCGAAGCCCGTGGAGTTCGTGGACCAGGTGGTGGTAATCCCTAGATGCGCCATGTCCCCTTCCCAGTAAGTAATACCCAAGGCACAGTTAAATTCACGTTCTCTGGAAGAGGCTAACATGTCCCAAGTAGGAATGAAGGGCTTCGATGAGGGTAGTACAGTTGTAGCTACCAGGGTAGAGACTGGTTGAAATGTCGGTGACATGCTATTCGTTCATTGAGTTGAGGAAGACCGAGATTATTGTATGGAGCGTTTACACTGTCGCTACGTTGTATAGGTTAGCTCAGAGAGTAAATGATACCATTCGCGTATCGCATCAGATCGAACATGAGTAACAATGTGACGACCCGAACATGTCAATATGATTAGGCGTATCATGCCATTTAGGTACATATGATCCTACCACAACGCGCCTGAGGCTGCTCCTATCAATGAGGCTTGACATGCATGCATTCCAGACACTGCAGTGAACAATCGTGCGATGTAGTAGACATGAGATGAACTACACTTCATCGTCAGATGTCCTTTCCTTCTCAGCCTCCTCCAACTCCACAGTCCAAAGATGATACTTTGACCTCGCTCGAATCGTCGGACCGAACCGAAAGAACAGCCAGGGTACGGGCGCCATAAGCAAGGCGACGAACCCCAGCGTACTGCTAGCCCACGGCGTCCCCATCTTAACGTACATCTGCCGCGCAAACAGCGGGAAACCAGCCGTGAACAAAGACCGCATGACGGCATTAGCAGCCAGTGCGCTTGCTGAGAAACGCCCATAGCAGTCAGTCAGGTATGCGTTGGTTCCCAAGAAGAGCGTGACAAAGCCAATGCCGAAGGGTATGCCAGAAAAGATGCAAACGATCCAATGTGTCGGCGGATTTGCCGTCCATCCAAACCAGAAGAGCGCCATGGGGATGAACCATGCTGTGATGATGACATGTGGGAGTCGCGCCTCAGGTTTCGGGCCTCCAAGTTTCTTGACCCATATGCCGTGGATGTCGTTAATCCAGGGTGAGCTCGCCGTTGCGATCGCCATGCCGAGTCCGATACCCAAGAAGGATAGACCTGCGATACCCTCGCTCCAATGGCGCGTCTGCCGGAACACTACTGGGTAGGCGGTGAAGTCGAGATATAGTATACCCCAGACGAATGCGGAGTAGAGTCCCAGGACGAATAGAATGGGCTCAGTGAAGAGCATGAGCCATGGGCGGGTTAGGTTGGTAAGGTATTGCTCCTTGAAGGATTGGCGTGGGGGCTTGATGCCTGCCTTGGCCATTTTACGTTGGAGAAGGGTTGGCGCGTATGTCTCGGGGAGGAAGAAGAGCATGGCGGTGTACACGATCGCGGCAATGATGGTCACGACCCAATAGAGCCATCTCCAATCCAGATGCTGCGAGATGAAACCTCCCGCCACCGGCCCTAGGACTGGACCGAGGGAACTGCCCGTCGTGAACAGTGCGAATGGTACCGAACGATGGCTTTGAGGCCAGATGTCTGCCAAGCATCCGCCGCTGTTAGTCACAACGGGTGACCCAAAGAACCCGCTGAAGAACCGAAATGTCAGAAGAGCGGCAAGGTTGGGCGATAGCGCACAGCCGATGTTGAAGCAGAAGAAGAGGAACATGGTGATGCGGAAGACGATTTGTCTTCCCAGTGCTTCTGAGAGCGGTGCGAATAGCATTGGGCCCGAGGCAAATCCGACCAGGAATGTCGTTACTCCTAACGTTGCAACGGTCGGAGAACATGCGAATGTTTTGGTGACGCCAGGGATTGCCGCGGCGTGAATGCTTGAGCAGAAGGTGATATTCGCCGTCATAAAGACGATGACCATCGTCGCCGTCCATTTCTTTCGGGCGGGCCAGTTGAGTGGGTGTTCGTCAGGGTCGAGCTTGATCCGGTAGGAGCCATCTTGCATGACTTTATCGTTGAGCACTGCCTTCTCTCCCGATCCATGCTTGACGGAGGGAGAGATGAGATCTTCGGGGTCTTGGATAATCGTGCCACCTCGATACATGGCGGGCGACAGATAATGAGGAAAAAGGGTGTGTTGTGATGAGAGCAAGACTTAGCTACAATCTAATATAGCTTTAATTATGGTCAGAAGTCACGAATATGACGCTGCTGGAACGTAGCAGACACACGAGCTTTGAACAGTCGAAGCATCTGCGGACGTGCCAAGCTCAGTATACAGTGACTCATGTCGACCGTGGCTTGTATTGCTTGCAGCTAGGAGAGTGCGCCACTGATGAAGATGGGGCGAGCATAATAAAGGCATCAGGGCCCTGCATGTTGTGTAGGCGGTCAAGCGTGCCGCATGTGAATCCTACGAGAACTTTAGTCTGAATGCATCAGCTAACGATGGACCAGGTAGCTTCGATGTAAGGTTTCCGGCGACTGGCGTGTAATCCGAACATGCGATACACCAACGCTGCAATGGCCGTATGAATTGTGCTTGTCTAGATAACAAAATACACGTCACACACGCTCTAAACACTTTATCTATAATATAAATATTTATATATTCTATTATTTATTATCTATCTAATATTATATTTTTAGTACTATTTTTTAAGTAGCTTTATATATCTATCTATATTAGTACTTATATATTATATAAAGTAAGTATATAGTTTATTTTTTTTTAGCGTTTAATATTACTAAAGAAAGATACCTAATATATAAATAACTACTTTTTTAAAGTAGACTAGTATATAAAAAGTATTATCTTTATTAGTAGTTTATATACTATTACTTACTTATTTTAAATAAAGGCTTAGACTACTAGTATAAGTTTTAAGATATTAGTAAAACTTATATAAGATATAGTAAGTACTTACTTTATTAAATATTTATATAGTAAGTATATATCTTTAAGTTATATAGAAGCTTTATATATAGCTTTTTATAAAAAAAATACTAAAAAGTTTATAAAATAGCTAATTACTTAAAAGTAGTATTTTTAGCTAGAAAAGTAGTAGTAATAATATTAAAGAAAATAGTAAAAGTAATTATAGCTATAATTAGGTTATTTAAGTTCTAAATAAGAAAAGTAATAAACTAGATAGTAAGGTGTACTATATTATATATAAGAAAGAGAGAAGAGTTATAAAAATAAAGCTTTTATACTCTTCTTTAACTTATATAGTATATATAAAAATTTTAAAATTTAGTTCTATTTTATTTTATAGTACTATAATAACTTATTAATAATAAGCTACTTATAACTTCTATAATACACATAAAATATATAATAACTAAATCTGCCTATTAAATATAGAAGGGATGCGAAAGAGGTCTAGATGACGAAGGATGCGGCGAGGGACTGTCGATGCGCAGACCCGCGTCAGGTCCTCAAGCTCCAATTACGGGCGCTAACGTGACCCTGTGGGGTATCTAGCGGAGCTGTATGCAGAATGTGACAAGAGTTGATTATAGATGTTAGGTCGATACGTATAGCTCCCGTTCCGACGTGAGCGCCCTTACAATGCCTCGGGAGATCGACAAGGGCTGATTCTGGAACGGTCTTTGGCTAAGCGACATATGTGGCACCGAATAAGCAATTAAGTATTGGTGGAAAATATGCTCTTGTCAACGACGCCCTGCGACAGTCATGACAACCTCGTCTGATCCTCCGTTGACATGAAGACAAGTAAGGCGCAGGGCGTAAAGTCGAACAGCCGACCGATATGGAAGGAATGGCTGCGTCTAATGAGGTTGTATAACCAACCGTCCCATTGCTGCTAAAGGCGCGTTGAGATCTCCTTGCGTTCATACTGCGTTCGCAAAGATGTTTCGCTCCGAATAGTGCGCGAAGATCGAAGTGGCTCTACATCCGATGAAGAACCAGGCCTCGTCAGCCTTTCGCTGTCCGATGCCGCGTTCAGCTTCAAACGGCTCCACACCGCACTGCTTATTCGGGATATCTAGCTCGCAGTAGGAAGAGCGGCAACGCGGTTGATATCAAGCCCACTGATTGAGGGCGTCGACCCTCCTCCCGATTCCGGTACAATGTAGCCGTAGCCCTCTGCATGGCCGATAAACCAGCGGAGTTGATAGTCTTTGCATTCGGATCCGTCACTGCAGCTTCTTACAAGCAATTGGGTAGGCGGTGAGTTCACAGCGAGTGCGAACAGTTGTGCTGTTTCGGTATACGTTGGAGAACGCGTCAAGTCGCGTGGCTTGCGGATCGTTGTGCCGTGTGCCGTGTGCCTTCGAAGTCATCGATGACCATAATTGTGGGAATGTATTGTCGGATTCGTGCGTGTCCAAACATGTCTTCGGCTGCTACGTTGGGGGTTGGCAGTGTATTCCTCGCGGGTGATACGCCTCTCGGGGCTCGGGCGTCGTAGCTGTAACTAGGGTCGGTACCTCTAACATTGCGTCGATGTATGTCAAAGTCGAGATCACCTAGTTGCTCGCGGAAAGATTCGGAAGGGACGATATAGATCTCAGATCCTGTCGCGGGTGCTGCGATACATGTGCCGTTGTTGTTGAGAGAGCGTCGCGTTCCCTTGGCGTTCGTCATCGCGAAGAGCTCGCACGCTAATGATGTTCGGTTAGCGCACGCAGCTAGCGAGGAAGGATTCCTTGAGCCGTCGACGGTCGGATGCTCAGTGCTCGAAGAACCTTTCAGCCTGGTTTAGCAGACTCAAAAAAGAGGAGTTTGCGTTCTCTTCATCTGTTTCGGCTTGCAAGCGGAGTGCGGGACAGGAAACTGATACGACGTACAGCCACCTCAGATCCTCTTTGTACTGTGCCGTACACACGGTTACCTAGGTACCGACAGCCACCTCTCCATCATGCGGTTTCACAGTTGACCTACTGATGTGACCTTATATAACTCTACTTAGCTCGCTCCTGCACAAGGCTACATAAGACGGCGGCTAACAGACAACCATCTTATCGGCAAAGTGAGGCGCAAGGCGTAGCTTCTAAGACCCGAGTTGTAGAAGGGACGAGTATATCTAACAAGAGAGTAGCTAACACGTGAGCTAACGTATAAAGAACTGTTTTAGTGAAGACAGTTCTATACATATTATATAACACTGTATATATACGCACTACTGTGTTTTTAGTGTATTCCAAGATTATGTTCTTAACGAGATCGTGTAGCCTACAACAGTGTTTGATACATGTTTACGCGATCGCAACCTCAGGTCATAGATTGACAGTTTGCTCGATTTATATAGTGCTCTGTCACCAAAATCGAGGGCCTATCAAGCGATGATAATATCGACGTGCTCCTTCACAGATCCTGCCAAACAATGCAAACATGCTTTTTCTGGCAGAACGAGTACCTTTTTGCCGGTCTGTACAGCAGCGGCGGTCGCCCCCAGACGCGCTTGCCAGTTGCTACAGGCACGAAAGATTGCCATCCCATTTGGAGGATCTAGAAACTCTTCCCAGCAGTCCACTGCTATCAAGTCCCAATCTGCAACATCGGCTGCCTCCTTATCGGCAGCATGCGTGCAATTCTCGTTCACGCGAATACTGGATCTGTTGAACATAGAGAGGATGTCCAAATCCCCTATGTTGCGGCCGCGGTCATCAATAGAAATGAGAGCCTCCAGAAGTACCACTTGCCGATCGCGAAGTCCCCGGTTCCCTACATACACAGCATCTTCCGACTCAGTGAACGTAAGATGTAATGTAGTACCCCCAAATGAGTCTTGCAACTGACCATCAAATGCCATGTGATTTATAAGCTTCCAAGAGCGGATGTCTGGACTTGCGAGGCGCGGATCTGCGGGTGGTACTAGTAGGCAAAGCTCTGAGCGCCCCAGGTTGCCAAACACTCTTCGGATCGGAGCATCCGCTGTGCTTGCTGAAGGATCTACAAGGAGCTCGCTCGCGACGTAGATAGATGCTCCGTTTGCCAGTGCCATAACTGCGTTAAGGTTCTTCAGTGGGATATCAAATTCGCCAGAGTCGAACCACGCTATGCAAGAGAAAGCCCTTCTTATTTGAAGTCCTCTATCCTCCTGAGCATCGTTGTAGGGCTGGCGAAACTCCTGTTCGAGCTCAATACTCCCCTGCCTGAAGATCGGTCCCAGCCTTTCAGAAGGCTCGTCATCTTCGTCGCCATGATAGACGAAGACATCTGAGTCTTGCTTGCTGGTATCTGTCATACTGGATTGATCTGATGTTAGGTCTTTTTGAACGGATGATCGTTCGACTGCTTCGTCTTTATGCCACCACATGTCTAATGCATGTTTGCGAGTGGGTAGGCTTTCGGGTTCGATCGAGTTTGCCCAAGAGACACCATACATAGTGCTGTTGATGACTTCGATAGAGATGGTAGAGTCAGGCATTGAATTGTAGAGATTAGTCGCAAATGTCAGTGCGTTTAATGAGCAAGCTTGCTGCTCAGCACCTGCCACAGACCAATGAAAGCAAGAGGTCCAGAGGTCAAGGCTTGCCGGATCAAACCAAACGGAGTCTACTACAGCTTCCATCTCTTCCATTGTCGCAGAAGGCATGTCTGATGGGCTTCTTGAATAGGTATCGTAGGTCGGCGTTTCCTGATGCTGGAAGACCGCTGCGATTTCGCCATGTCCAAGCCATAGCCCGTATGTTGTTGGATATGATTCTCCACTCATTCGAAGGACGAATTGAAATTCATCGACATTCTCCAAACAATCTGGGTGTATCAGAAATGCATCTTCGCCCTCATCTGCCAGTGCTTGTTGACGACACTTATTGAGACAGCCTACACAAGTATGCTCAGGAGAACAATCTTTTTGGCATTCGAATTTCAGTGAGTCATGAGGTCCCGGTAGATTGTCGCACATGCTCCTATCTTCATGGCAATTGTCGGTACACCTAGTGCCATGTTGTTTGCAGATACATTCGCCCAGTGCCGGGTCTGTGCATCCGCAGCCTACAAAACTATGACAGCTAACGTTGCTCTCATCGTCTTGATACTGGCCAGGCGCAAAGCGTTGATAGCCTTCACTATATTGGGCTTCTTGTCCGATAGAGCGTTTCTGTGAGGTCCTTACAGACGGAAACACA